GGGGGGGAGGGGAGACGACCAAGACTGGAATCATCTACAGAGGTGGATGGTATGGCCATGTATGGCCCCACTTTGATGACCTTTTTCCTTTATAGTCCTAGGTGGTTTTTCTACCTCCATGGTGCTTCCAGGGAGTGTCATGTTGATGTACATTGATGAGGTGAATGATGGCGGCTCTACATTTATAAAGGTTGAGAGGCTTTTTGGATGATCTGGGGGCAGGATGCTGCTGGCTACTATGGATCCGGTTGATTTGGGTATTTTGTCTTGATTCTCCCTTGTCATCTTTGCTCTAGATGATGCACCACGGATTGACCCCAAAGAAAAAACACGGTTTGGTGAAAAAACTTTCTCCACATCTCCATCCCAGGGCCACTTTCACACCGAAGCACATGCCCTGAGAATTCGAACTATTTTGTTTTCCAAGTTCTGCTTTATAACAGTTCCCAGGGCCACTTTTTGGAACTTCAAAGGGCCACGTTGTCGATACCCTATAGGGATGCAAGTATACCTCCTCGGTGTTTGGACCCTCCAAGCCCATAGATATGTCTCCAATCACTCTCAGTACTTGTAGTTCGAAAGGGGTGCCGAACTTGGAGTATAGGGGTGCCCAAAGCATCCACTCACTTAGATGCTACCAACATCTACCAACCACCCTTTTGCGACTCCTGGTCAGAGGGTCTTATGTGGATCCCCCCTCCGCCGCGCTCCGCCTCCTTCTTCTCAGGAGGTGCGGACCTGGATCCAGCGTTGGGAGGAGTTCATCTTCATGTGGGTCTTGACCAGCGGATTGGCGCAAATCGGGTGGGAGCTTCCCTTCGTGCTCTGGAAGGCGACCCGTTTCATCGCTCGCTCACCGTTCACCACGGAAGAGGTGGCGATTCACACGTCGTCGGGACCGGAGCATCGATCGGTGAGGTTTCCGAGTTCCGCCCTGAGCCCGGTGGACAGACCGGATTCCCTCCGTTGGGTCCTCGAGATAGACCGACATGTGATGTGTGCGGATGGACCAGGATGGACGGTGCCGGACTGGGAACGCGACCGCCAGGTGCGGTACTTGCAACCCATTAAGTCAGACAAGTTCTTGCAGCCCGACGAGTTGTGGGCCTGGCCCTTTTGGATGTACGCCAGTGGACGCCTGGCTGAAGCGCTCTCCTGGTGAGAGATGAACATTTCGCATGGATGGAAGATCATTGCAGATTAGGTGGAAGATGGTGGAATGGCGTGTTTCTCGAACGTTCACAACACGTTCCATCTCTTTTGTCACTTCACACTGTTTTGGGTCTTCAAGAACCAAGAGAACGCAAAAGGGACAGGCCCCACCCCAAACCACCTCTGCTCCGAAACTCTTGAACTTCTTGTATAAGTATATATAGCACAAATTGGCTATAGATCATGACAGATCATATATGCCCAACCCACGCGCTCCATCTCAATCCCAACGCACCCGTCTCGCGTCGTCTCGCGTCGTTGTGGCCCGTCGCTGCCAGGAGACACCCGTTACATGCGTCAGCACTCTTCGTCCCACGCGACCGAGACGATGTTGGTGCTGTCGGGTCCATTTGAACTTTGGGCTGTTTGGGCGCTGAAGCGACGGATGCACTACAAGACGGTGCGCTGTTGGTGGGCCGGGGATGCCATTCGGGGAATGGGCTGGGGAGTTGGATGAAAGGGCGCGAGCATGGAACAAAAGGTGTGCGCTGTTTCAGCGCAGCTTGTGACTTTGCAGCTTGTTGGTTCAGATCGCTCATTGAGACCCCTGGCCCTGCTTTCGGGTGTGACATGACTCATGTTCAGCCGATGAATCGACCGGGGGCCCCTTGTTTCTTTCGTGGATCAACCGGGCAACCCTTCAGACCAACGAGAACGCCTTGCAGATGCCGAAAGCACCCGGGTCGGACCGGGACGGGGCGGCTCACCGGACGGCTGGTCCGCAGGCGATGCTGATCTCGGCGCTGACACATTGGGGCTTCTTCTGGGCGAACACTTCGGTGATCTACATCGCCGAGATCTACGACAACTACGAGCCGCTGGGTATGGTTTTTTGATGTTTTTGATGCGCAGGGTGACCGGCGGGGTGGGAGGGTGTGTGAAGATTCTGAAGGTGCAGCGCGGATGAATGCATCATTTCTGATCTAACCATATCCAACCTATAATGTCATGTCATAATATTGAACTTAATGATATATTTTAAAAAATCAAATAATAATATTGAAGCCAATCATAGATGACTTCTCCTCAAGTTCTCATGTTTTCGACTTCTTCCACTTCGGAACCACGTTCACGTTGTTCTGGGACATTTTCGTTCTCCTTTCACCACCATGCTATCACCGCTCTTCCTGTCGAGGAACGTGGCGGATGGCCCATGGGTGGGCTACTGGGTCAAATGGGCTGGCCTCAATCTCCAATGGCCACTCAGCTGGGGACGAAGCTGGGTTCACGACTCGTTGGCCGAAGGATCCTTCGGCCGGCGTCACAGTCACACTGCTCACACTGCCGGGCGCAGCGGGCCGCGATGGGTTTGGCCCAAAAGGGCCCAGAAACGGGTGCACCGATGCGGACGGATTCAAGAACGGGACTACAGGATCCGTGCATCGTCCAAGGGGTGATGGGGGGGGTCCAAAGAAATCGTACTCATCCAGTCGGAGCATCGATGTAGAAGGACAAGCCATACATGCCTATAAGGGATCTAGACCCCTCCTGAGAAGGTGTTTTAGGTGTTTGGATCCTCCATGCCTACTATAGAAGTGTCTCCAATCACCCTCTCACAGGGGGGTGGATCCATAGGGCATGACCCGCTTTTCGCTGGTCTACAGTGACTCTCATATGCGCTGTTCGAAAGCGCGGCGTGAGAAGCCGAGGTCTGTCTTGAGCCCGATCTGCACTTTCGCAGCTCTGTGGCTTTTGTGCGGAAAGGTGCGAGAGGAGGCGATCAAGTCATTGAAGAAGGAGTAAGGCCTCAAGTCGGGGCAGATAGACCCACTCCCTTCAGCAGTCCTGTGACATGGACTGACCACAAGGGTGCGGGCGACGGCACGACGCAAAGGCGGCCCACTTTGAGTGAGTTTGGCCTTCGGTGAGGTTGGATGGTCTGACGCAAAGGCATCTGGGCGCTAGGTCCGGTGTTTTCGCTTCAGCGGCTTCCGCCGACCCATTTTGGCGCGAACGAGGCGAAAACAGGGCGACTGCACGGCCGGGCATGCGGGTGAGGAGGGGTGAGACAGGGAAGGTGAAACAGGGTGGTGCAGTGCAGTGTGTGTTGGGGTTTGTTGGAGGAGAGCTTCAGACCTGCAATCCTCTCTCCAGTCCCTGAATTGGTTTGAGTGGGCTTTCCATGGGAGCAGGCATTCAGAACAATCGATTTGCGGTCAATTGCTTGAAATCTTCTATGATCTCTCTCTCGTACTTCACCCGTTCTATGATTTGCTGGCTCAACGTGGATTGTTGCTGTATGGTGACTGGAGAGTCAGCCGGGCACATCGCTGACTCTCCGGAGGTTTCTCAGATTTTCTCGTCGACTCTCTGCCAGCACCGACTTCACAGGTCACCAATTGAAACCACCCTCCAAGGGCCTAACAACCCTCCAAGGGAGACCTGTTGGGTTCGGTGCTGGTATAGCAACGTCCTTCCTTTCTTCGTCAGGTCCTCTTCGGGTCACTCAACGTCACGACTGGGCGCTCGTCGGCTCGTCCCCAAGGCATGCGCCCTGCAGACGGTGGGGTTGATGTGGTCATGATGAATGCCGGTGACATCAGAGGAGCGCCGAGTGGCCGGGGGCCGGGGTGGGGGTGGTTTAGCCCTCCGGAGTGTTCACCACCTTGGTAGGCTGGAGGTTTCCAGAAGCACCTGGCAGCCTGGTGTTCCGGACATTCAGACCTGTCCCATGATTCCAACGAGTTGGTCGCCGGCGTGCTTAAAGGGTTTTGGTTCCTTTACCTAAG